TTCAATCTTTCAATTTCCTTCTGACATTTCCATTTCAATTCCTTGAACATGATAGATTTTAAACCATTTTTGGATATGAACTTCAACATCAACAATCACTTGACCCAACAACAAAAGGCTGACAATTATTGGACTTCATCTCGAGATGACAATATTAGCCATTTGTCAATGATTTGTATTTTTATGGATGAAACAATTTAGTCAAAGATGTTAATTTGTTTTAAGGTAAAAAGATGCATTTGTTTGCCTTTTTCCGATGAAAACATGAACATGATTTCATCTTCAAATGTATTCATAAAAGGTTTGAAAATGAAAAATTGTCATCTAATTGACAGTTAGTAAATTTAAAAAAAAAGGAAGCTTCAAACATTTAAATCCATTTATACTATTAATATGCAGTTTAAGAAGCAAAGAAGTGCGTCTTTTGCGTCTTGGCTAAAGATGGTGCGTTTAGGAAAATGATTAACATGATCCGAGTTGATCATCAAAAACAATCAACAATCTTTTTCCCTTTCAATTTGAATTCATCATTCTTCGCTGTTGGTTTATTTGCGTGATTTATGCGTTAAAATTGAGAGGCTTAACTAAACCAACAACATTTGACCTGAACCATTCAAGAAAAGAGCAAAACTATCATCGAATCATCATGTTTCTTCTTCTTTTCTGATTTTTCTTCCTTTCATTTCAATCCTAAAATGGTGTAAGGTGAAAGAGCCGAGAGATGAGAGATAATGAAAGTTGATTTGATTCACTTGAATAAAATCAAATTGACTTTTGTTATTGACTGAAAAATGATTGAGAAAAACAATGAATTGAAATAACATGAAACATTTAACCTTGCAATAATGATAACAATCATCGGCATCACTTTATAATTCGACCTCCAGGTCAATTCAGCTGTAGTAACTTTAAGCAAGCCAGGTAAAGCAAAGAAAAAGGTTAATTTTAAATTTCCATTGGTTTACTTCAACCATCCAAATGAACCAGTCATGAAGTGTTTGCATGTTTTAAACCTTGAATATTTCAATTTTAATATTGAAACTGTTGATGATCCAAAAATCATTATTAACCGACAATATTGTTTCAAAATTAAGTGATGAACCATTTCATGGTAACAGATAATCTCACGATTTCCTCAGCTTTACCCTTATCAAGACAATATACAGCTATTGTTTGCTTAAACTGTGTAATTAACTCTTTCAGTCCAAGGATAAATATCCAAGTTTATGCAAAATGTTGATAATTTTGTCGATCAGTTGCAAATCATCAGATCACTTGCGATTCACCTTGCAACCTAAAGATCAACAAATTTCCAAATTGTTTCAAATGCGATAAGAAGTCAGAGTCACTCAGAGACTCAATTTTTCCATCCCATTCTAGTTCATTGGAATTCATCAAAAATCGAAATCGAATATGAAAATGAAAAAATTGTTGAATGACTTTAAATTTGAGAGTTGATTAGATCGAGCTTTGGATTGAATGTTTAGTTTGACTTGAAGACTCGATTTCAGTTTCGATTTGCTCATTCCATGTTAGTTCATAGAATCGAGCATTAAAATTGAATATAAAAATTTCTGTTGTTCTTTGAAAAAACAATGAAAATTGAAATTACTGTAAAGAACCAGATTTAACATGAAATATTGAAATGAGCAGAAAAGTACAAAATTGAATGAAACAAATGCATTATTGAACATTAACTGTTTTAAAGTGCGTAAAGCTGATCCAACTGTTGGTTGAGATTAATTTTTTAATGAAAATTTCTTTGGTAAATTAAATTTTTCATGGGAAATCTTTTGTTTGATTCACTGATGTACACTGCGAAACAGTTTAATAGCAATTGAATAGCGCGAGATATACGGAAGTTACCTTTTAGCTTAACAGGTATTAGATGAGGGTAAACAACAAGTAGATGTCAATTTGTTTTGAGCCGACATAATAAGTAGATGATAATGGTAACAGAATATATAAATATAATGATAATTTGGTTAAGATAATCAATAATGGAAGCTGATGAAGAAAACAAAATGGCCAAAAGTAAAGTAGCAATACAACATAATGATAACAATAATGACAATAATCACTATTATGGTCAGCGAAATTGGTTGATAATTTTCAATTTTTGTGTTTAAATTGAAATCACTTTCAACGTTTCTCCTTTCATTTCATCCAATTTATGATTACAATCATTATCATTCGCATATTACGATATTAGAAGCCCAAAAATGATGTAAAAAAACGTAAATTAACTGTTAACTTCTTTTCTCTACTTTTCGCTATTCATTAACCTTATCATCACAATGTATGTTAACCTAATGTCACGAAGTTGATATTTACCTGATTATCATGGTAAATGATAGTCAAAGAGTGACCATTGGCCCTCATTCCTGATTAACATGGTTTACATCTTGATTTCGGGTTCACAATTGAAGTCACACAAAAGCAATATCAATAACGGCGTTTGTCATTCAATGTTTTCATTTTTTACCTTTTTTCTGGTTTTCTGGTTTTGCTTTCATTTCATTGATTTTAACGGGTTGAATGAAAAACCAATTTTCCTTTTTTTGTATCATCTTCATGACTTATCACTGTTAATGTTTAACAATCAATTCTAGTTGAATCACGATAATTGTTTACATTCGTTAATCTGGTTTCTCCTTCAGGCAATCTACCCTTGAAAGGTCACATAAGCTGATTGTTTTTACCGTTGTTGCTGGTTTTGTATTTAAAATTGTCTTTATCATTGTTTTAACATGAATCTGGTTATTATGACTTTTAATAATTAACTCAATCTCATCAGTCAAAATGTGCAATTATTTTAATTCATAATTTTTCAGGATTAACCTTTGATTAATTATCTATTGGATTGTTTTTTCCTTGATAAATTGTTGACAAGTTGTTCATCGTTTTACAGTTTGCTAATTTGAATATTTTAAAATGGGTTTTCTGGTTGTGAGATGAGAAAATGAAATTTTAATGAATAAAAAGTACGATTTCATGTTTCATTTCAATTTAGTTACATTTTCTTGCTAATAAATTAGACTCTATTTGGTGTTGCAATTAGCTTAATTAGACAATAAATTATTGATAGTTTCGGGTTGTATTGTTATTCAGATTGTTATTCATTCTCAACTCTGAATTGTTAAGTTAAACACTTTTATTTTTCTTTTGCTGTTTCTGTTGTTTCAACTCTTCTTTTCAATCTCTCGATCAAGATAATTTTGTTGCTGCTATTATCATGCAAGATATTTACCACTTCTAGCATCTTAATTGTTATGTTAATTTATTTAAGCTTAATTTTAACATATTTCTGTTAAAATATTGAGTCAGTTTTTTGAGGTCAAACAATATAAACCTGTTGTTAAATACAATTGATTGCTGTTTATTGTTAATAATTTGAAGATGTTTAAGGATAGCTTGGAAGATGATTAAAACCAGTGAATAAACATTTACTAATGCAAGTAACTAACCAAAATGATTTAACAAAAAAGGTTAATTCAATTCTAATTGTTTTCCATTGAAATTGAAATTTAGTGTAAAATGGACAGTAAAGAGCAACAACCCAAAAATATGGTTCATCTTAAAGGCTTTAAGGGATAAATGAAAGCTGATTAATCAGCCGATTTTGTCATTTGTATTATGTTTAGACAGAAACGGTACTTTTGACAGCAAGAGCATTTGTTAGATGCAGTCATTGGTAAGCAATGGGCTTTAGGCGCTTTTCTGGCGCTCCAAGCTTAGTGCTTGAAGGTGGCAGCTATGAGTGTCATATTTGTCATTTTTAGCTCAATTGTAACAGAACAGAATCACACGCAATTATCGATTATCAGTTCGTGAGGACCCTTCTGAGAAATCAGGGAAATCACAGTTATAGTCCAATATTCAACTGATTATTGAAATGTGTTTTCTCTCTTCAAATCAAGTTACAACTGGATTTAGTGATTCAGTTTACTTGGGAGGCCTCTTCAAATGAAATAGCTTATATTCCGAGGCACATGTGAATCGAAAGAAAAGAACAAAAGATTATCAAGATTGAACATGCACATGAACAGTTTAATCACTCTTGCATCTCTTCAAAATTATCGACAATTTTATGTGATTGTATCGAAGTGATGATCAATCAATTGGGCTTTTCTGGTGCTAATCAAGTAAGATTGAAAAATACAAAAAATTAGTAATTCAAAGTTAATGATTGATTGTGATACTTGAAAGTAAATTGAAATGATGAAAAATGATGACAAATGGCAATTCAATCAAATTTACAGAGAAAAGGCTTTTAATTGAAGTCTCGTTTCAATAGTCAATTAGTCGATTCAGTTTACATTTGTTCATGAAGGCTGGAAAATTTCATTCAATTTGTTTACTCTTTGGGTAAAAAAGGTAAAGATAAGAGTCGGCAACACATTGAGATTGAAGATTTTATTTTGAAATTCTGTTGTTATTCCAAATGCTCATATCTAGCATTGAGTTACTAAAAAGAGGTGTTTTTCATCAATCTCGTGTTGTAAGATATTATGCAAACCCGTGAGTTGAGGTTATTGAAGAGATCCTAGAAACAAGCTATAAATTGATACAATTGATATAACAGTCTCCAGCAAAAGAAAAGGTTTTTCCTAGATAACAGATTGTTTTGTTTTTCAAGGTGATTTTGAGTGCCTAGAACCAGAAATTGAGTTGAAGAGAACTGCCTGATAACCAGAGAGTAAAGTAAGAAGAAGAGACTGCGATTTGTTTCAGATGCAATAGCACTGAATCTGAGCCTAATCTCTCTCTCTTTTTTCAATCAAAATTGAAAAAAATTGATAATTATTTAAGTTACAAAGAGCCTCTTACTGCTAACAACACAAGTGCCATTACGCAGCAAACAAATCTATTTTTCATTAATCGCAGTCTCTTCTTCTTTACTCTTTGCTGATAACCTGAGCTGATTGTTATCAGTTAAAGTTAATTTAGTTATCACGTTAAAGCTAACTTGGTTATCATGTTAAGGGCAAAACGCTGAGTGAGACCAAAAATGAGGTATAAAAAGAAGCCTAAAACACTGGATGTCATTAGTGACTTCGAGTTTACAAGTTATTAAATAAACTGTCCAGCTTTTTAGCAATTTACTAACTCTTTACACTGCTACAAAATGTCTCACGATGCACAATATGTAAGGTAAGATAACCCAAGTAATGCTTTCATTATTTGTAATTTGAAAATAGAGCGCTTAAATTAACTCTTTGATGTCAGCTGGATGTCAATGGCTATTTTCACTAATAGCTTCTTATTTTCTTAGCACCTTTTATTTCATTCTTAATGGTTATTTTTTTTGTGATTTATCATCAGATATGAAAAACAATTGGTTGAATGGAAAAACTTCAAACCAGGATCAGACGAGGATAAACCCATTCGAGTTGCTCTTTTTGGACTTGGTAGAATTGGATTGATTCATTTGGGTAAGATCTTTTCCAACCCAAGAGTTAAATTGGTTTACTGTGTTGAACCAAGCGCTGAAAGATGTGCCTATGTTCAATCTAAATGGAACTTGACTGATGTCAAATTCATCGTATCTGAAAGCGGTGAAGTTGTATTCAAAGATCCAAATGTTGAAGCTGTTATCATTGGAACTCCAACTCCAACTCATTTTAATTTGCTGATCAGTGCCCTTCAAGCTGGTAAACATGTTCTCTGTGAAAAACCACTGGCCTCTGATTATCAAGGTATGGAAAAGTGTTATCGTTTAGCCAAGGAAAAGGGAGTTGTTCTGTTGACAGCTTTTAACCGCCGCTTTGATCCAAGTTTTGCTGATATCCGAGACCGAGTCGCCAATGGAGAGATTGGATCCATTCACGTTATCAAAAGCTGTGCAAGAGACTCGCCACGACCAACCATTGAATATTTAGCCAGTTCTGGAGGAATTTATCACGATTGTGCTGTTCATGATATTGACATGTTACTTTGGGTTACAGGCGAATTCCCTACTCGAGTAAGTGCTCATGGTGTGGCATTCCACGATGATATCAGAGCAATAAATGACCATGACTCAGTTGGAATTATGTTGACTTTTCCTTCTGGCGCTGTTGGTATGATTGATCTTGATCGAAACTCACCTTATGGTTATGACCAGCGAGTTGAAGTATTTGGCCCTAAAGGTATGCTTTCTGCATCTAATTTACGACCCAAGGGTGTCGTTTCTGAGTCTTCTTCGGGTACTTCCCAAACACCCATTTACTACTCGTTTGTTTCTCGATATGCTGAGTCTTATGCTACTGAATGGGAACATTTCATTGACTGTGTCAAAGGAAAGACTGAATGTACCATCAGAGAGTATCAATCTTTGGCTAGCTTCATAGTCGCTGACGCTGCTGAAAAATCAGCTCGAACTGGTCAACAGATTAACTTAACATGGGACGAGAAAAAGTTCCTAGTACGAGGAATAAAAGGTAACTAAGAAATCACAAAATTCCTCTTATGTTTGTAACCATTTCAACTTCTATTAATAACTCTTGTTGGATCTAAATTAAAATGCTATTAGCCCTTGTTAACCTTAAACCTTTGTAAACCTTTATTCATTAAGTTCGAGATTATCTTGAAAATTATAGCCTTTAGTATAGCAAAGAAATTAATCGATCGGCCCAATTTTAAAGGGTGTTGTGGCAAAGAATTTATTTCGGTTATGATTAAATTGATTGAGATGGAAATGCCCAATGGAAATCTTGACCTTTACCACTGGTTGGTGATTTCCATCTCTAACAATTTTTTAATTCTTTCGCGCAACAACTTTAGTCCGTCAAATTAACTGATTGAATCCAATAATTGAAATATGTATAATTGTCCGATAATTTTATTTCGAGCATAAAAGCGTTTTTACAAAGAAACAGGTTAAATTTATTAAGATGAGTTTCGGTGAAAGTCGTTGATTGTAGCCAAGAAAAAAAGCTCAAATATGCAAGAAAGTTCAATGATGATTGACAGACATGATTTTTTTAAAGTTGATTGTTGTCTTAATCAAGTTGGAGTATAATGTCAGATCTTTTAATTTACGTGAAGCTGTTTACCGCCTTTAGTGAAGTTTGCAAGTTGCGTAGGAAAAGTAACCATGAAGAGCATGAAGAAGAGCAATAATGAACGCAAGTACCTGTAAGTAAAAGTAAAAATTGAATTAAAATGCAATTTAAAAGATAAAATTAAATTGTCCTTGAATAACAAAAGTTGAATTTTGAGGCTACAAAAACACTTACCGAAGCAGTTTTGTATGTTGCATAGTATGAATCAATTGCGATTGAGATTGACCAAAGGCCGGCCAAAAGGAAGAGTATTGTTGCAGTAAAATGGAAAACAAAGTCCTGCAATTAAAATCAAAATTAATAATGAAATTTTTATCGTAAGTCTAATTAAATTTTACAGCACAATTGTAACCAATACTTACAAAAGTCATTTTAGGCATCAGTGAAGCAGTACTTAATGAGAATAGGCAAGTTAACAGCATTAGGAAAATGGCATACAAGTGGCACCAATTGATCAGGTAAAGAAATAAGAAATCATTGTAACTAATTAAATTACGATGTCTTACAGACATCAAAATGAACGAAATCAATGTTAAGACCTGAAATGGAAAGAGAAAAATTTTAGATTAGTTCAATATTCACTGATTTAATTCATCCTTTTTGGTTAAATTCATCTTTCAATCTCCATGATTGACCGAATGTCAGTTAATTGTTTTGAAAACTATATTTGAGATTATTTTTGCGATACAAGAAATTATCTAATTTACTTTCACTCCGATCCAAAGTTGTACAATATTAAGATTAAATCAAATGCTTGCTGTATTTAGCGGTGAATTTGGTGGGAATGAGTCAGCTGATTGCAAAACAATAATTATCAGACATTTAGTGATATGATGCTCAATTGATTTGATTGTTTCAATCCGGTTAGAAGAATCGACATTGTAATCTCTCTCTAAATAACATAACCTTAATTAGTGTTCTTGGTGGTAAACTAATTCAGACAACTTGACAGTTTCTGTTGAAAGTCTAAACATTGAAAATTAGAGTAAAAAACTGAGCTTGGTTGAATGAATTAATAAATGGAAGTATAAATAACAATCATGAAGTTTAAATGTTCATTAGCTGGCTTAGATCAACAGTAACTTCAGAGTAGACGGAGAATTGGCAAAAACTCAAATTATTTTGTAGTCTATTATTTTTGTACAGCAACCAAAGCAATTTTAAAGGAAAACAAAATTTTTGGTACAAATGTCAAGCAGATGAATGGCCAACAACCGATGTAATTTTTGTGTTGAATAAAAATTGATCATAACTAAGCAAGTCAGATAACTGGTTGCTGAATTGAGCTAGAGAGCTTCATGTATTGATTCAACAAGGGTGTGGTAGCCAAGGCAATATGCAACTCAAAAGCAAATCGTAAACTTGATGGTTTTAGGAGGAAGAGAACACAATAAATGGTAACAGTCTAGTTATACGGACACAAAACAATAACAAAGCCGTTAATTGAGGCCCCAGGCCGTCCAAGCCCAACCGAACCTAACCAAACCTAACCTAACCTAACCTAACCTAACCTAATCTAACCTAACCTAACCTAGTCCGACCTAGAGCGCGATAATAATCGATTATTTATTTGAATCTATAGCACTGTTTATTATATGTGTCCGTATAACTAGACTCTCACCCAATAAATGAACATAGTGAGACAGATGAAAATGAGAGATGAACAACAGATGAAGTTTTGAATTGATAAATGTTGGTAACTGGTTTGGTTAATGTAATTTAAATTAGAACCAAAAACTTACAAAAATAAGAGACTTAAGAAGACCAAATTTTGTTTTTAGGTAACCAGTGTTGATAACCAAAATAGAGGCTGTTGTTGTAGTTGTTGTAGTTTGGGTGATTCGAACATTAGAAGACATTTTTGATTCTTTTAATTTGATGACTATTTTAGAGTCAGATACTTAATTAAAACACAATTGTAGCTATTGATTTAGTCAATGATGATTGATTAATAGAACACAAAATATCTATTTACTTTAAATTGAATCACTAGAAGAGAGAAAATGCAAAGCAAATCATGAAACTGGTAAGTCGATAAACCGGTAAAAAAAGGAAACTGAGTCAACAGGTTATTGGTATGAAGGGCACAAAAGAAGTAAACTTGGGTAAAAATCAACCCAAAAATTGAATTACTGGAGTTTTCTCTGTTAATTATGGACGGTAATCACAATTATAAAGATTTTAATGATGAAAATTAAACAAATTCAAGCTGTAATCAACATTTGGTAAACAGAAAATCATTTCATATGTGATTTTGCGCGAACACTAAAACTCTAATGTTGACATATATGGCTAAGTATATCTCTCTTTTTTCTGTCTGTTTATCTTCCATTTTCATCAATCTATTTCTCTTTCTTTAGGTTTTTATAATCTCTTTCTACCTCTCTTTCTAACTTTCCTACGCTTTCAGTTTTTATCGCAATTTTAACTGAAAAGTAAAGAAATGAAGATTCATAGTTGAACCTTTTCTACCTACTGAGAGATTTGGTCATTATCAGTTCGTAACATTAAAAGATTTATATTGTTGATATATTTTTTAAAGCTAATCACACAATGTTTTGTCGAACCTTGTGTTTGTTTTAAATTGAACTACATTTCATGATCAACAATGATTCATCTTGAGTATTTACACCATCTATTACTTGCCATATCTTTTGTTTACATGTCTACCTGTTTAAGTAATTCAACTTTTACCAAATCTTAAGCTATTATAAGATTTCATCTTTTATTGTGAGTTTATGTTTATTTGATTATAAAAACAAATCTTTCCTTGGCCAAGACTGTTGAGTGTTTCACAGCTTTTCAGGATTCATTAAGTCTATTTGAGGTTGACTGTTTAAACCATGACAGCGTTAAGTTAATTGATTAACCAGCCATTTGAAACATTTACCGATGTAAGTCATTAGACGGAGACGAGTGAACAAATAAACATCGAGTGTGAGTTGAGTAGAGTTTGGTTTTTTAACAAAACTGTTTAGTCTATTGTAGTCTATCCAACAACTGGGAATACCTTTGTCAAAGTTGCTAAATACTTGAGTTTTGTCAGACTAAAAATATCAAGGTAAATCAACCAGAAAACTGGTTATCACATGTCATATGAGCATTCCGATGAATAGTGTCCACTTTTGGAGCGGGATTCTCATATATGCTTTAGTCGCTTGTCAAGTTCATGATACGGAAAATGGTAACATTTTTAGCTCATAAAATCCACTTAAATCATTGGTCAGCAAAGTGAAAATTCTGATTCATAGCGACAACTCAGGAGATTTTAGCCTGTTACAATCCTACCAACAATTACTGGTTAATGGTGCATTTCAATTTCACTTTCCTTTTTTACAGTTTCATAATTTTGCACATCTCGATGTATCAGTTAACCAAATCAATCGGTTTCCCTGTCGATCAATAACATGACCTTGACAATCGACTAAATCGTCGCTGAGAAATGAGCTTTTAGGTGGACATTATTCACTGGAATGCCCAGTAGTTGGTAAATTATAATTGGAAATTTATAATTATCAACAAAATGAATACAGACAAACATGTAATGGGGTGCGAGATTCACACTGTGAAAGATAACTTCCTTAAAATTAAAATTAGAGTTGAATTAGAATAAATAGTTTCTGTTTGTTTCCATTCCAATTGATGATGGGACAGCCATGAATACTTTAATGACGATAAGAAACACCTACACGGATTCACTATTTCTTTTAATTAATTAATGTGACCAACCGAAGTGACTTGAAGCCAATCCCAATCATGAAATTAAACCATAAGCCTTGAGTGGTAACATCCTTTATCATGGTGATGGTTGGCTAAAAACAAGAGACAAAAGAGGAGAGTTAATAATTGCAATTATGTTCAAAAGGTTTACCAAAACTAATGATAATAATATAATGATAATTATCATTAGTTTCAAAATTAATATTTGGATTAAAACTAACCTCTCATTAATCAAAACATAATCCGATTTTAAAACGGCAAGTCACAAATGAATCTGCTAAATGTAACTACATGTATTGACATGCAACTTCAAACTGTAGTAGAGCAAATTAAATCATATCAAAAGGATAAATGCTAATTTTTTGTTGAATTTCGGCCATTTGACTAACAAGTAAAATGATTTGCGACCATCATTGATCAATCAATCGTTTTCCCGTCGGTGCATTGTCATCGATAGTTTGCTACTATTGAAATGCAGCTTCATAAAATTGTTGTAAAGTAGCTCAAATTGTGTTGTTTTTGCAGATTATAGCCAATCCTAAGTTGTATGACAAGACTTGCTTTATGAATCCAATCTATTAGTGTTCATTAAAATAAGGTTACTTCATTGTGCGATCAGACGGTCACTTGATTAATCCTTAACAATTGTTTGCCGCAATGAAGTTACACAATGCTTCTATAAAATGGAAGCCGATTTAACTTAATTAAATGATGATTTTGAATTCCGGAAGTATAATAGGTAATAGCTCAACTTTGCCAATAGATTAAGATGAAATCACATCATGTAGTTGTTTTGTGTTTAATGATGATTGCGCCAGCGAAAGTTGACTCTGATTTGGACGATTTCCTATCACAGTTAATTAGGATATCATGACTTTTTTTCACCGATTCAAGGTTCAGGCCTTTCATAATTTGATTCATTCCATGTTTGAATATTGATGTTGTTTGATTTAAATGTTTGTTTATGGTTTGTAGAAGGATAATATTTGACTTTCTTCATTATTAAAGTGTTAGAGATGAAATAATAAGATGGCAAACCAGAAATCAACAGGTTATCCGTTAAAAATCGATGCCATGGTCCATTGAATATTGGGGAATCTTATACCAATCTTTTCATTTTACTGTGATTGTTTAAACCGTCTCTAAAGCCAACAATTGAAAATTATAAATAGGGAAGCAAGATAAATACTGTTAGTGAAAGTTGGTTGATCAATGAAGATGGATAAGAACGGGAATGGTAAAGGATAGAGTATAAAGTAACGGGATAAAAAAACGAAAAGCAAAAGAAATGAAAAGTTAAAAAAATAAAAGTGTTAATGCAAAAAAGTCAATTGTTATTTTAACATAACCTGTTGGAGTCCAGTAAACAAGCATTTAGACAAGTCTGGTTCGAAGAGAATACAAATTGTTTCTCAATCATTATTACCATTTGATAGTCTTTTTCCATCAATTTCATCGTTAATCTGATAACTCAAGACAGTTGATAATATGATAACAATATTTCAATCACAAATGAATATTTAACAAAACAATTTACAATTGTAATCAGCTTTTGAAACGATGAAAAGACTACATTTATTTAGATATTATCCAGATAGACTAGTGGCACCTCCTCTCTGATTTTTATGTAACTCTCAAGGGTGAAATTATCAATTGAAAATGTAACCGAAGGGTAACCAATGATAATCAATTTATTAGATCGTTGTTACTCCACCAAATTGTTGACCACTGTATCAAGTCAAAACATCAAATTTTTGTGTAAAAATTGTGGCTAGACTAAAAGGATATCCAGTAAGTAGTAAAACTTTTACGCAACCTGAAAGCCATGGTTGAACAACATGTCCGAAAAACTGTCAAAGCTTAATCAGAATTCAGGTTACTAAGAAAGGAATTTGCATAAAAACTTTGAATTTTGAGTTAAGAGTTGGGTCTTTGTAGGGACATGCAAACAGAGTCCATTAAAAAAATGCTATTCTCTACATTGTAGTTTGTATTAACATGAAAAACGATGCTCATCAATTTGCAAGACTAAAGATTTTTGAACGTCTATCCATATTCATTCAATTTGAATTAATTTCGATATTTTGATATCAAAATGAAACAAAAAGTCTACAACACCGGGGGTTCCCAAGTGGTCTCCCTCCCAAGTACTAACCCGGCCCGAAACTGCTTAACTTCGGAGATCGGACGGGATCCGGTGCTTTCAGTCTGGTATGGTCGTAGACACAAGAAAGGTTCAATACTGCAATATAAACATAAAGACTTATTTCAAAAGCCAATTTCAAATTTTTTTCTTTAAGCTCAGATTCTAAATTTTAGCCAGAAAAGGTGCATAGAAAACTTTTCAATCAAATGCCTCGAATGAACGAATTTCTAGTTTATAATTATTGCGATTCAATTCTTTGATAAACTTTTGTTTCGCTTGATTTATTACAATTGAATAGTTTAAAAAAATTTATGACTTTAGGTATGTTAACTAAAACCGTTATATTTAGGCAAACTGTTCATTCTTGATTTGTTCCCATGCAAGTTTTATTGGTTTTAAGGTGGATAATCATCATGGCAACCTTGATGGATTCAAGGATCCGATTTGATATGCTATTGTGCATTATTGATAATTTTTTTTATACCTTAATTAAACTGGTAAGTACCATGTTAATTAAAAATTCCCAATATTTAAAAACAAATAGATTTCAGTATTGAGTACAAACACATAATCTTAGCCTTCGTAATATTGATTTTAATCTTTTGTTTATCCCATTGTTCATTGAATTTTTTGCTTTCAATTAGTGGTAAACAAAATTATTTTGGTTCCTACTTAAGATTTTTGATTTTGACAACAGTATCAATATCAAAGGTATTCACAAAATTGAATGAACAACTGACTGTTGATGATTTACCTGATGAAAATATCTAGAGTTTTTCGCATGAATTTGAATGAAAATCAGTATTCCATTGACTATGATTGCTCTTTTAAATCATAAATTTTGAAGTTGATATGCACGATTATAGCTTAGATTTCACAATTAATGCAGAAATTTGGGAAAAAGTGCAATTTAAAAGTAAAGATCAGCAAATTGTATGATAATGGTACGACTTTAATTTTAATTCACGCTTCTTTATATCAATACAACAGTTAAATTAACATAATACTAATTATCTTAAATGTTTGTTGCTCTATAAATGAACTCTCAATACTAAATTATAAGATTGTTTTTCCTCATTTCCCTCTCTCTTGTTTCGAGAATGAAATATTATCATCGTATATTATTCATCATGATTCTCAGTTTGCTCAATCTAATGTGTATTATTTCTTGGTTTTTTAGGATTATTGTGGTTTATTCAATGGCCAACTTGAATGAGCATTGCGCTGGAGAAGATGTTTTCATCCATTCAATTGGCTATTTGGTATCAATTATTCAACATTAAAAATAATTTTCACTGGAAAAAGTACAAATGGAGAATAAAGAAGAGCTTCCATGTTCATGGTGGAAACGATAATTGGTGCAATAGCAAAGTTCCCGATGATAATGATGGAAATGAAGAGCAACTGTAGCAATATACTTTTATTATTTTCCGCTTTTTATCAAGATAAAAGGTAAAAGTGAAGGTGAAAAAAATACTGATGAGTATAAGCGGAAAGTATTCAATAATTTCTTAAATTGAATTGAGTCACGTTTGAGATTCTTTTTTACGTTTTGTTGAGATGAAATTTTCATCTCATCTAATATTCAAAGTTAATCAGTTGATGGAAGATAAAGTGCTAGACGGTAACTTGCAGCAAATTGCCTCATTTTTTGCTTTCACTTTTCGCAGTCCATCAATTGAAATGTTATCATGGTTTCAACTCATGTTTACTGTTTTCTTTCTTTTCTTCCAGTTTCTTGATTAACTACTCATGGACAGAACCATTAACATCATCATCATCAATTTTCCATCAATAATCGACTTCTTAGGTTGAAAGAAATGGATGCAAAGTGGACTCGATCATTCTGGTTCATACAAATGAACATCTCGATGAGTCTCTGGCGTTAAAGTCCAATGTCAATGGTAGCTAAACACATTTATGTTCATCATGAACATTCACTATTAAATAGTGATAAACTTCCTGATCAAATTTGACAAACTTATCATTAGTCAATAGTTTTCCTGTTTCCGTTTTTTGCTGTTAGGATGATGATGAATATCCAGGAACCATGATAAAAGTGGTTGTTACTTATTAATGCAAACCTTTTGTTCTAGAAAATTGAACTTTTCTTCTTCTTTTATAGCTTTCACCAATCATGCTGGTATTCACATTTCTTACCATGATGATGAATATGGTAAATATTATCATGAAATGTTTCAACTGCAATCTTGTTCATCATGTACAGCAGTTTGAAAGCGCAGTCTTTAATTATATGGAAATCTCATTTTCTTGAAAATCTTTTATTACTCCATCAACCGATACAAAATTAGACCCATCTTAATCTTGAGTTAATAATTGCGATTAAATTTAAACTACTGTCATGGGTACTAATTATCATTTCAAGATGGAGATGTTATTTTTCAAATTATCGTTAAGTTTGAACAAAATGTTGAAATCAAATTGACTATTGGAATCAGACAATAATGGGTAATCAAACATGACATCTTATAAACAATACTAATTGAAATTTTCGATTGTTGAAGTGTGATTAGATTATTCCAAAATCAATTGGACAGCATATGGTTTACAAGATGAATATGAAGTGTGAACCAATCAATTTTTAAAGAAATGAAAAAACATTGTTCAACTTTGCCATCAAATCTTGCTTTAGACTTAATTGTATGGTATTAATGATGTAGCCTTTGATATTGAAAACAACACGGTTAATAGAAAAAAAATATAATAATAATAAGCATGATAAAATGGTAAAGAAAAGGGAAAACAAAATATCAATCAGTTTAAATGAATTGAGTACAGGCAAAGCTCAGACAAAAGGCACAGGGAAACGAGTAAATTAGTGATTAAGACGGACACAAGAGTCGTAATCATAATTAATGTCGTGACCATTCCGTCTTAAGGCAATCAAAATGGATAAGATGATTATGTTTATGATGGTGATGGTGATAGAGAGAGAAGAACGTTGTTGTTGGTCAGTAGAATGATATGTATTAGAGGAACAATCATGATGTTGATGATGATCGGTTTAATGTAAGATCATCTTTTCATTGACCCAACACTTTCCTAATTCAACATCAAAATGGATTAATCACTTTCAATTGTTGAGCTTGATTTGTGATGCTTTAGAAAGCTGGAAAGGGTAAAAATTCAGAGTTAATTTAACGTGTTACTCCGACGTAGCATTTTAATTAGATGGTAAAGTTTCCAGTTTCCTCGAGTCACGCTTACTTCGTTTAACTTTCTTCTTAACCTCCGTCCAATTGGTGTTTGTACATTTCCCGTTGAATATGGTTATTAATTGGTTTGCACGAAATTGTTCAACTTGTAATCCATATTGGTATTTGCTTGGATAATCAAAGGTAAAATCTTCAAGTTTAACTTTTCTGCAGGAAAATGAAGAAGAAATCAGATGGAAAATGATTAAGTACCATATTGTTAACATTTGGCTTGATAGCGATTCTAATCTCGACTTTTAACTCTACTTACCTGATTGTGTAGTTAATCTTGTCCTGGTATTTGGATGTAGTTTGGTTTAAATTGTAACTAGTTGAGTCCAATGACAATCAAATGTAACCATCGTGATAAATGGCGACCTTTCTTTGAATCTTTCATGTACTCCTCTTTGACCATCCAAATGTGGGTTACCGATGATATTTTATGATAAGTTGCTTGGATTCAACTGATTAAGCTTGAAAGAAGATGAAAATGGAAAAAACAATCAATCGTTTTTGGAGTAATCATGATTATCTTTGTATCAATTTTTGGTAAATGAATGTTTTCACTCAACAATCATTGTACAGAAACAATTGTAATCTATGAACTCTTCTAGGTCAGGTTAACTGAAACCTTGACTTACCTTTTTAATTTGAGACGATGATAAATTAATATCAGTATATTTAAATGCATCAGATCCTCCGGTGATAATAATCAATCTTAATTTTACTATTAAGCTGGCGAGAAGAGAGTAATTATTAATAAAACAAAATAAATCATGTGCATCTCATTGAGCTGTATACAATACATAAACAGCTGAAGTGAATTAACTTATACAAAAAAGCTTTACCAATCAACATTTTGTTTTTTGTCTTCATGATTGATTATTATAAAATTTCAAGATTTCATGGTTTCCTGAGATTATTAAGTTCATTAAGGGTTAAAGGATAAATTAATACTTACAATTATCCATCAGATTAAAGGACATTTGCATGGCCAAGACAAGATTAATCCTTTGAGATTTTATAGTTGCTATTGAGTTTGTTATGCTTAGCTACCATTTTTGCTTTGGGTGGTTTCGCCAGACGGATGTGAATATTGACAAGTCCATCATTAATTGTGACCAACCTGTTAATTAACTTGTGAAGTCAACACCAATAGACAAGCTTGTTTACTCAACAATTTGTTAATTAACATGCTTTTGATTTTCGTTGATTCTCACACAAAACAAGTTGACCGACAAAATCTATGCTTGTTATAGTCTAATGAGATTTGTAACAGTTCAAAGAGACTCTAAAAGCTTCTGACTTTTTTCACACTGTACTTACAATTGGCGACACATCTTTTGCTTCTCACTTGTTCAACAGTAATCATTATCCAGTGTCCTCAACTTCATTTATTAGATGAAATCAAATGACCTGGAATCAAAATTTAACCATGATGATTAATGTAAGTATTAACAACAAGATTAACAAAATTCTCACCTCTCAACGTGTGTGTGTGACCATCCATTTCTTCACCTTGTATTGCGTCTTATTAATCAGCTGTAACTCTTTCTTTTTTCTCTTAACCACTTCTCATCATCATCTAAAACACGATGAATATCATTTAATATTTAACCTCTTATTTGTGCTCGTAATTGTCCACCATTATGTTTTAGCTTTTGTATCTTTCCTTATCGCTTCATGGTTGACATATCCACTCATTAACAAGGTAAGCCATTCTGTTCATCGTTAATCTTGTTGATCCTCGCCTTTTTTTCATTTCTTCCGATACTGATTATCTTTTTCATTTCAAGTTTCTCAGGTCAAATAATGGGCTGTGAGATCTCCGTTGAAAAGACCAATTGGATGATGTCTGTATGCCAAAGATTAAAGTAGGACTTGCTCTTTACACGGAATCCTATCAACATTATTGGACACCATTGGACATGAATTTATAGCCATATTTGTTAACTTTCAATTTCATTATTACAAGCATACATATTTGGTTAACCGTGTTGTGTTTATGTAATGATGTTCACGAAATGGATGGTTCCGTGCTCAATACGTGTTTAATTAACCTACTTGTAGTGAAGATGAATCTTTCTCCACTTGAAGCTAATTTCTTTTACAATCAAAACTCCTTCAATGGTCATCATGAAAGATCAATCAAGACGATCACTGTAAAGTACAAACTAATCATCAGGTAACAAAAATCAACGAAATAGAGAGAGAAAGAAATAAAACAAATCAAGAAACAAGGTTTACAATTGATCATTTTTGTTTGCTTTAGCTTTATTGTATGTGTTTTGAAGGTTTAACAACATCATTAACATTCTCATCCTAATTAACTTACAAATTTCATGTTACAATGCTAATTAGTCTGATCAATGATTATCAATCATTCTCACAACTATAATCAGATTGATTATCAGATTGTTGTTAGCTCATATTTTCAATACTAAACTAAATGGTAAACTATTAGCTGTGCTAATATCAATTTAAATCAACTTCACTCTGATTAATTATCCTCTTTTTGCTAACAGATAACACTTCAAAGGACGTTTCAATTGTTAATTATGCTATTGTATTGTAATCATTATCACTCTGGTTACACTTTGTCATCTCTTGACCACCTTGACTATGATTAAGAAGCTGTAAAAGCTGATTTTAATCAGGATTCATCAAATCTGCTTCAATACATTTTTCAATTTACAAGTTCTCATGTCAAAGACATTCATTTTCAAGCCTTGATCTAAATTGAGAAATTTCTCATCATTTATGATCAAGTCTAATCAAATCAAAGCATCTGGTTGCTCAGTGTCAACTTTCATTGACTCTAACAAAATGTCAATGTCGTTTTTTCAATTGTTTCAAATATCTATTGTACGGTTACGAATCAACTCATGGAGCAGATAATCATCAATAGCCATCGTTTTCACAAATATTGCTTTATATCCATTTTGCATCAGTTTCATGAAATAATATCAAATGGATTGACAATTTGGTTGCAATATACTTGGATTACATGGAATAGCTCATCAAGGCTGGTGTCATTAAATTATCTTGTTAATTGTAACCACAACATGAAACTACTCGATCATCTTTACAATACACTTTGCAATCAATTTTCTGAGACAGACATTGGCTCAATGTAGACTAAAAATTTTGACCAACCGATTTAGCAAATTCAATGATCAATTGCAATTATACTTGACTGTTGATGGCTGATTTTCCGATGGACATCATTTTAACAATCAGTTGATCAAACATAGTGTTATGCTAAAGAAGTATCACAAGGAACTCTGTCTCTGCCTGTAAATTGAATTGATGATACACGTAACTGTAGTCAACTGCTTGGACTGTAATTTTTGAGGTTATAACATGATTTGAATAGATGGCAAAACAATCTGCAAGGAGATAAATCAAGGTGTTAAAGTTGACCATTTTCATCTAATAACAATGGCCAACTATTGAGATTGTTTGATCATTATGTTAAAATTAATGAGTCCACAAGCCAAACTTTAGACTAATTCAATAATCAAGATTAATACATTCGGGTGAGTGGCCATTAGATTAAGTAGAAGAAACAAATTGAATAATTGAGATTGAAAACATTAAGGATTTTATTCTCATTAAAGCAAAAGGAAAAAATTAGATGAAAAAAAGTTACAAAGATATCCAGCAATCATTACATGGATGAAGGTTACATGAAAAAGAGCAAAGAGTTGACCAAAATTTCATTCAACTTCATCCATGAAAACCTTTATTTCATTGACATTTCAATTGAGTGGAACAATTATTTCACTAATGACAATTAATAACAAATAATGGTTGACTTAATGTAAAACAATATTTTTTTTCTGGTAAAATGTGTTGGTTTTTTTGGTGGTAAAGTCACCCATATTAACATTAATTAAATTGTTGATAAACACAACATTTTCCCCCATTTTGGATTGATAAAAAAGACATGACCAGATTAACCAATGGATATAACGAGTGTTATACAATCAAGTTGATTGATAGTCAGGTTATAAGCTTGCTTTTATTTCTAGAAACTCAAATCGACTGTAAGAGCAATGGCGGAAAATAGAAACTCGGAGCAATCTCTTTTCAGATTTATTTACCTCTCAGTCTTTTTACTCACTCTTTTTCCAGTTATCTTCTCGATTCTTCGATATTTTTGAACATTTTTCTAGCCACTAGTCTTGAGTAAAGTCTAGTGTTCATCTCGAAAAGCCAGATGAAAGCCTAACATTCACAATTGATCAACAAGTTGAAAAATTTACAAATATCGCCAGTTGAGATAAAGTCAACTTTGTAATGTGATCTTAACAGATACTCATCGATATCCAAGCTTAACCGATATTTTTAAAACAGTCACAAGACAATGTCTCTCTATTAAGTTTTTAATTTAAACCCAATTTTAACCGGTTAACCAAAATATCATCTATATCATCTTCGAGGTTAACCCAGGGACCAGTTGCCGATTGAAACCATCTCTCACCTGTCGATATTACATTTGTAAGAGCAAAACTTACCATTTATTGCCTGTTTTAGTTATTTTGGTATTTTATAAGATTTGGTTTCTCCAGTTGAAATTATTTTTTTAGTCTTTTATCCTGTTTCGATACCTTCTTGGACCAAAATCAACGATATTTAGGATTCTATTTTTGTTGTCAACTCAGATATTTTATTTAAACTGACAAAAATTGAATTAACAATGAATGCTGATCAACCAGAAGACGATCAGGAAAACCAATGTGATAACTTTGGAGGTAAACTCAAAGGAGGTGATGATTTGAATACAGACCAACTGATCAAATTTGTTCATGGTGAAGATAAAGTAAAGGTTAACAAGTTACTCTTGTTACCTTGGGATGATGTCTTGTTTCCATATATTTTGGACCATTTGACTTGGAAAGACTTGTATCTTTTGCGATCAGTTTCGCGGTCAATGATGGATCTGGTTCATTGTTATTTGTCCTCATTATTGGTTGTTGATTTAGCTAAGATTGGTAAACGTTTTACTCTTCAAGCATTTGGTGTTCTGTCTGCGAACTGTTACAACTTGAGGATTCTCAATTTATATAAATGTAAATGGATTTCAAATGATTTACTACAAAATATCATTGAACAAAATCCACACTTGACTCATTTGAATATTTCTTGCTGTTTATCTGTAAACAATAATTGCCTTCAAAGACTTGCAATCAACTGCAAAGGCCTTAAATCTATTCAATTAAAGGAGTGTTGTTGGACGAATGCCATAGCTGTTGCCCATCTAGCGTTGAATTGCCCATTATTGGAAGAGGTTGACCTAACGAGTTGTTGGGAGATTACAGACGATTCAGCAATTGCTTTGGTAATCAGATGTCCAAATCTAAGAAGATTATCTCTATCAAACATCTACGGAATCACCGACAGTGTTCTGATGAATGTTGCTGCTCAATCTAAAAATCTTGAATATCTCAACATTTCTGGTTGCTGGCATATAACAGATTATGGTGTTAGGTGAGCGATTTAATTATATTTTATAAATGAATAATTTCGTAAAAATATCAATACATTTAACAATCCTGATTTCTCATAATATTTTATACAATATTTTGGATTTGTAAGCATTATTTACAAGTCTAGTCTTAACTATGAGCTTGAATTTTAAAAAATGTTTATAGTTACTGTTTTTTTCCCAGAGTTAGATTAACTGAGCTCTGAGACTAATCACTGTAAAGTTCAGAAGTAATGTGAAATGAAGCTCGTCTACATCTCTTAAAAGTCGAAATCATTCATGTTTATGACTTTTTTCTTCTATCTTTATCACAGATTGATCGGTGAAAATTGTAAAAAGCTAGAGCGATTGGAAGTTTTTGGTTGCAGCGAGGTTACGGAAAGAAGCTTGGCATTTTTGAGGCTCAGAGGAGTTAAAATCGATATACAACCGCCTCAAAGGCCTCGATTGACTTTGTTCTTGAGACACGCGATGGGCCATTAGGATTCCGGCGATGAGCGAGATTGTACTTCAAAAAAGCTTTCAAATGACTGATGATAACAATTATTATAAACTTGACTTAGAAAGATTTATTTATAAGTTTCATCTCTTTAATGATCATTGTGGACCAAACATCGCTTTTAACATTTTCTATGTGATATTTATATTAAAAATGATTATTAATTCCATTTGCATCGCAATTCTTATTCCATCACAGTTAAAGCTTGTAATTTACTGTAATACATTCGTGCCAATCACTCATTATTCAGTAAAATTTTCTATAAATGGAAACATAAAATAATGAAAAATGAAACCTGATTGATTTTATGTCAAAACACAATCGAAAGGATGAAATCAGACTAACCAATTTTAAATTACCTACCATACTGATCATTTGTAAGAGTGTTTAAGGCAAAGCGCAGTTTCACATAATTCTAGTTCAATAACTTCAATTTATTGAACCCAAAAAATAATCGACGAATCGTCATTACAGATGGGTAAAGATCCATTATAACAGACGTTGAAAAACTTGAAATACTAATGAATTCAGTCATTATTGCTCCACCAAAATAGTTTTAACTTATCCTAGCAATGAGTAAAATTTTCAAAAGATAATATTTTAATTCTATTTTATTGAAAATATTCATAAAATTCATTTTCATTCTCCTTAAACTCTTCTTGTGAAAAATATTTTACAGCTATTTTCAACAAACAAATTGATTTTCAATTTAAATCTTTTCTTGGTCTAACCCATTGCAGTAACCAATTTCGTCATTGATTGCGAATTAAACGAGCTTAGACCTTAAACAGCTTGAAGAGTTCAACATTTAAAAATGATTGAATGTTTTGTGGTTTACTGAATTAATATACAGTAGACCCTCGATTTTTTATCAAAATCGGGCGAGGAAAATCATGACAGCTCCATCTAGCTGTATTATAAAGGGTTATGAAACTCTATGTGTTTATTAAGCACATTAAAGCTTTTTTTGTTTGTTTGATGTAGTTTTTCAGTAGATGGCTCTCTTTTGAAAAAAAACCGAGGGTGAAAAAAAATCGAGGGTCTACTGTAGTAGTATAATACATATGCTATTTCCAAGTTTGAACTGTTATAAAAAATCATCAGCGACTCTTTATGAAATATTTTTATTTTGATTATTTCCTATATTTGGTCGGTCTGAGCTATTCTAATTAAATATAATTCAACTAAAACCTACTGGCTCTCCGTTTCACTCAGAGCTGATTTTATACCAATCTGTTTGAGCATCTCGATTAATTCACCAGTCTTGTGCATTTGCAGAATAATATCACATCCACCAACAAATTGTCCATTGATATAAATTTGAGGTATGGTGGGCCAATTGGTATAATCTTTTACCGCTTGTCTTAAATCTTCATCACTTAGAACATCATATGCATCATAGTCGACTCCATGCATACGCAAAACCTATAGAAACAAAACATGAAAGGTTAATGATATAATTTCGAAGTAGTTTAAATTAGATGAACATTTGAAACTAACCTGAGTAACAGCGTTGCTGAAACCACATCTAGGAGCATTAGGGACTCCTTTCATAAAAACAACAACCTTATTAGATGAAACCATTTTGTCAAGCTTATCTTTCCATTCTGGACTAGTAGAAAATAAAGCAGCGAATTGGGTTCGAGCAACAGGAACACGACCAATTGTCCTAACAAGAGATGAAAGTAGAGACATGATGAACCTTTAGGTAAAACAGAAATTGGAAAACTATTGAATGAAAACACAAAATCCAAACGTGAACTCAACTCCAATATTTAACCTTAACAACCAAAATATTTAACCTTAACAACATCTAGGCAAAGGCGCTCAATTCAAATTTCTTTGACTCAAAATATTCAACATTTGAATTGAGCGCCTTATATATTTTGGAAGTTTTGAAGGTAACATTGGAGCTGCGGTCGTGTTTTGCTTATTATTTTGTTTTTATTAATCAATTGTGTTACACTTACTGTTATTTTTTTCTCGTATTTAATTAAATTTTAAACCCTTGATCATGTCCCTACTGCCGTATCTTCTTAAGGCAGCTGGTCGTGTTCCTGCGACTCGCATGAGTAGGGTTCTATACGCTCAAAGATGTGGTTTCAGTAAGCCTACTTCTCAGGTTAGTATCATTTTTATTATCACTTTAAATAGCATTTCAGAAGAGTTCACATTTTTAATTTGTTTGTTTTTTATTTCTAGGATTCTTCTATGCCTGGAGCTAGCAGTTCTACCTATGATTTCAATAGAACTACAGGATTCGACCGGATGACTTACCCAGCGATAGAAAACTTACGCAAATTCAAAGATTCTCCAGAAATTGAGAAAAGACGATTCTTCTGGGTTGTACGAAGTGTTGCTTTGTATGCAGGACTGTTTGGAATCTTTTCGATAATTTATTGGGGCATTCTTTATCCCCGTTTAATTTTCCAAATTTATGATCCATATCCTGGCTAAAAGACTTGAAACATCAGTGAAATCCTAGTTTGATTATTAGAATGTCTAAGCTATTAATATTGTTATTCAACATTATATTATCAACTATTGTCGATTCAAGCAATTAGTAATCTTTGAAATTGACACTAGCCTACACAGTAAGTGTTACAAATGATTACAGTGTTTGAAAAGCATTTGCATATAAGTTCTTAATAATAAAACATGTATGCAGAAAACTGTTTCCAAACTTGATGTTAAACCGCGTTCTAACAAATTGATTCACATTCAAATGTCATTTTGATCATAAAAGCTGCGGCCAGAGCCAGTCAAGGATTACAATATATAAAAATTAAAACAGATGTATCGAATAATCATCAAGTTCAATTTTAATTCTATAATTAAGCAACATTCTCAATACTCTCGCCAATGAAATTAAATGACAATTATTAACCAACTAAACTGATTGGCAAAAGACAAATTGAGGTGAAAAGTGGGGAGGAAGATAAGAATTGAAGAAAATGATTCATATTCAATCAAATTTTTTGTTTTTGAGGTTAGAAATTTTCTCAATCTCTGATCGATAATCTTCCAGAATTTCGGAAGGCCTAATGAACCACATGTTATAAAGCAGTAAACCAACAACTGGGATAGCAGGCCAGAGCCATTTTTCACTAATGATTGGCAGTAAACGTTTCTTTCCTCGGACTTGTTGACGAGAAACCACTGTAGCTAAGTTGAGTCCACGGCGAACCATTTCTCTATTTAACAATGACATTGTGATAACCTAGACCAAAACACAAAGTGTAAGGATGCAAAAAGACAATATGAATAGTAAATCAATCAAAAATGAGAAAAAGGTATTGAAATTAGGGTTCAACACGAAACCTGGATTATTAATCAAAACAAATTAACTTACTTTTGCACAGGTTTTTTCCTTGTTAACACACAATTAATTTAATTTCAACTTGAGTTGAACCGATTTTTCTGAAAACAGTGAATTTAAGGGACCGTTAACACATAACAAACTGTAAGAGTAGAGCCAAATGTTTGCTTTTCCCTTAACATTCATTGCAATAGAATTATATTTTCTTTATTATTAATCACTTTAATAGCGAAATTATCAATCACCAAATTATTACAGACAATTAGAATATTTATAGATGTAATTCATTGAAATACCTAACAAGATAAAGCATCTAAATAGATGCTAAATAAACTGAAACTGAAACTTTTGTTGAAATATTGAAATCAAATCAGTTGATTAAGTAAAGCTAAATTAAAACTAAGAAATGATAGCAAAGATAATTATCACGAGAAAATGCAAATTGCTTATTTAAATAGTGGGTGGGTTGTGAATAAAGGGTTAGAAAACTTGAAGACAATTAAGAGCTTCTCAATAATTTGTTTGTTTGGGTTATTGGATCAAGTGAAAGTGCTAGACAAATTAAATTGGTTGTGAGATATTAAGAGTTAATTAAACTTTTAAAACGGCTGTAATTATAATTGAAGCCATGTGTTTCAATATTCATGTCTTTGTGTTTGGTTTGACGATGAGAAATGATGTTAGATTAATAATAAGATTTCAAAAATTGAGATGATTAGAAATACTTCACACGATCGTTTAATAAAACTTATCAAAGCCCTGGTCGTTTACTTAGGTGGTAATATAATTAATACAGTACGTATGTAGGATTAATTTGAGACCCTAAAGTGGTAAATTGAGCTTTCATTAATTTAAGATTTGGTTTCTAAATCATCATAAAGAAAGATTATGTGTTTAGATATAAGCAATTAAATTCACTAATAATAATATTGAATGTGAATCAACTCACTCAATAAAAATTTAAATTATTCTAATAGTCATTAATCATTATTATTTCAGTCAGATTCTTAGATTTGCATCTGACTAAGCATAGATGGAGAAATTATTATCATTGAAATATGTGGATTGCAGTGAACATCATAAGCAGCTGTTATTTAATCAACAATTTACATGAGTTAATATAAACAATTGGTATTTGAAAGTTCTGATAAAGAGATATGTGGAAGCAAAAATATCTCTACTATTGATTGATGATGATACAACTTTAAACTATGTTGAAGTTGAAATAATGGATGAGATGCTTAAGTGATGATGGCTCATTTTTTAGATTCATCTTCATCATGTCTTTACATTTATTTAGTTACCACAAAAGATAAAAAAATACGGCAATATGATCTAAAGATCTATCTTTTTATCTTAAGAAATGCAAATGAATGATGATTTAGAAAACGAAAAGTCAGATTGAAATGGACAAAAGTCAACGTAGGTAATCAGTTGTCATCACATTAACAACCAAATTTGAGGTTAATTTGCAGATAATAAAGTCATTAGTATGGAGGATAAATCTATAAGCACTTGTTTGTTTCCCAAGGGCTTCAAGTGGATAGTTTGTATGTGGTGACCATTGGCGTTTCCGTTTGCTCAAAGTATAATCAGCATCTCAATTTTCCTGAAGAAAAAAAGAAAAAGTCCAAAGAAAGAATAGAAAATTAGAGAAAATATCATGAGAAGAAATCATGTCAGTGTTGAGATAATGTAAGGTCACTATCCCAGGATGATAGAAGCAGAATAAATTTCATTTACCTTTTGAAATCCTAACCCTGTGCATGGTTCATTGTCAAAGTCCTCTTGTCAATCGAATCAAATTTTCTGGAAAGAAAGAAAGAGATTGAGAGATAGAAAATTAATAAAAAATTCAAGATTGATTCAGATTGATAAACAATAGGAAAGGATGTTCACTTGATTCGTTTTCTTGGCTAATTGATACCAAGATCAGTCAAAACGTTATTTACCTGTGAGCAGTTGGGTTGTTGATTTAACATGTTTTAAACATGAGAACTGTCAGCAAACAATAAAAGGTGAACACAGTAATGCAAGAGACAGGACAGAGAGAGAGAGAGAAACAAAACAAAAAACAAACTCACCGGCTTAACATAATTTACACTGCTATTAAGGTAATCTTAATTCACCCGTTGACAAGAGTGAGAGAGAAATAAAGAAGGTAATCACTGAGAAAAAGTTAATTCATTCAAAGAAATGAAATGTGATATCAAAAAGAGACAACAGCAACCAAACAACGACAAAAGAGTAAACATGATTAGGCGGGAGCGAAAATCTCATTGAGCGGAAAATTTAAATTCATTCCTTGGTTTCCAATTTCGAGTCTGAAATATGGTAATAATAAGAAGAAAACAAAATTTAAAGTAAAAAAGGTAAAAGATATTGACGAGAAAAAAAGAAAAGTCTAAAACATTAACTCCTTGTCTTCATTTTTGTTTGAAGAGGAGAGTTTAAAAAATCATCCTCATCATCACCTTCCTCTTCTTAGCTGTCTTCACCTATCATTATAACCATTGTTCATTCAATCTTCCTGTTTACCTTCTGTCTTCTTCTTCTTTGTTTTCATCTTCTCGTTCCTTTGGCTCCTGTCATCACCATTTTTCATCTCTCATTTTAAATGTATCTTCTTCGTCTTCTTCAACAATTTTAATCCTGTTCTTTTATTCCATTGTCATTTTATTTCTCCTTCCTGAGTCTCCTATTTAAAGGTCAATCTGTAAGAAAATCAATATCTAAGATTTACTTCTCATCTTCACCAACATCCTTTCCATCCTCCTCCTTCATTATCATTATCATCCCTAAAACAAAGTCCCTCCCAAGTAACCTCCCTGTCATCAATTCCTTCACCTTTCTCTCCATATTACATTACTATGGACAAACCTTTACATTTCAATCTTAATCGTCATCTTAAGCCTACCTGACTCATCTACTAATCACCTTTATAACCAGAAATCCAATTAATAAAACAAACAGTAATGTTTTACAAATTACAGCTCCACTAATCAGTCAATTGGTAATAGTAAACAAAAACGTTTGCTTACATCAAACATTGTCAACTGTTTTCCAGAAGCTATTCAAAAATGAACCCATATGATCGGATAAATGAACATCAAACCACCAAACCTAGAAATACAATTAATAGATGATCAATAATGAATAAATGATGATTGCCATAGTCAATAACAAAGTTATAATGCGGTTGAATATAAAAAAATTTAACTGTGCCATTAGTAAATCAAATTGGGTCCAAGTCAATTGAAATTGAGATGATATAGAGAAAAGGGAGGAGAAGAGAAAGAGAGAGAAGAAAAAGACGATCAAGAAGATGATGATGATGATAAGATTGATGATGAAGGGAAAGAAGAAAATGAAGATAGAAGGATGAAAGCAATTCAATTCGTTGTTGACGAATGAATGATAACATTATGTCAACTCCCAGAAAGCAGCTAATATTTCCTCTGATTGGCCAATAGGCGTGTTTACCTGTACATTGTGAACCCTCCGCTCCATGAAATTGTCTAAGATTGAGACGCAAACTCCTCTAATCTGATGATAATAATAATCTCCACCTCTCCAAGTTACAGGATAATCTCCTCCTTCTTCCTTGGGTGAAGAAAAAAACATTCACAAAAACAATGTAATGTTATTATTTATCCTTGTGAGTATGTTAAACTGGCTACCAAAAAAAAGGTTGAAAGCAGAGACTAGAAGAAAGCAAGAAATAACAGAAAAACGATATAAACAACGAAAATTAATTATTATCAACAGCATTTCTATTAATGTGGAACTTACCTCGTCACAATCATCACTTCAGTTGTTTCCTTATACATTAGTGGATTCACAATAATTAATCAATTTTATATTAATTCCATAAAAAGGACCAGTTTAACAACACAAACGTACATTTAACCGTTTTTTTTGTAATCGCTTCTGGTTAGGCTTTTGTTTTCTTGCAGCTCTCCTTTGCTGCCATCTTTATTTTACAATTAGCTTTTTTCCTTTCCCGTCCTCTTTTTTCCCCCTTTCAAAGTGTTGTTGTCATTTTGTTATTTTCATTTCTGGTTATTCAATTGTTTATTATGGTTCAACTTGTCAACTTGTTTTTGTGTCTAATTGTGATTAAAGTGAGAATTAATCCTCAACTAAAGTGTTAACTTGAATGCAATAATCATCGTCTAAACCATCATCATCAACATAACCATCAAACCTGATCGCCATTACAATCATCTCAATCATTACACTTTTACATTTGTTTTCCTTCTCGACACATTTTCAACTATTTCAACCTTGTTTTTAATAGTGAGGTTAATCAACAAATGGTATTTGCATTAATTTACCTTGTGATTTAGCATTTTCTTTCTCCTTTTCCTTTTTTCTTTACTGGTTTCTAATCAATCAATCATTCGTTTATTACCATCATCATCTTAACATCAATTTAAGGATATTTGCTACCAACAAGTGTAATAATTTGTTCAACTCTTGAAACTCAATCAACATTTTTTACACTCATCATCAAATTATGGACAGCAATTGACCCACCAGGAATTAGAAAGTCCTTTTTTTCATTTGGTTTGCAATCACACTTTATACTTGTAATGTAAGTATCAAATCAAAGTAGCCATTTTTGTCCAAATTACAAAAGTAAATACAAGAAGTAAAATTCATGTGAAAACAAACATTGATTTTTCCTGTTTTAACCTTTGATATTCACATTGAATTGATTTGATTTGACTTGTTAACCAAACTAATGTGGTCAAATAATCAGATTGATTTGATAAATAGAAGCATGTAATGCAGTAAAAGAGTCATCAAAACACACACACCAACAAACATCAGTTAAATTGATTACAATCAGCATTTTACGCGTAATACAAAAGTCACTGTCCATCACAATAACAGTTAGCTAATAAATCTTGCCTTGCATCCTAAGATTACCGATAAATGTAAAAGATATTTACCAGATAATTCCCAGTATAATGTAGTCTTAAATTGATTTCCAGTTGGATAGTAGAGAAGACAGAAAATGTAATAAATTGTTCGCTTATTATTCGCATGTTTCATTGTCCATTCAAGTGTCAAACCCAAACAAACACATTGACATAACCCTGAAAAAAAGGTAACCATAATGCCACCCTCAAAAAAAAACACACCACAACATGACAAGAGAGAAGTGAATGAAAATTGCTTGTTTTATTGAACACTAACAAAGTCATAATGAAATGGCCATCATCTTAAGAAAGTAAAAACATTTTTCACCAAAATATATCCACTTTCAATTACCCTCTGCTCAAACCCACTCTCACCTTATCACCCTCAATCTCCTCTCCTCCTCTAAGTATATCAGTTAGTATATAATGTATGGCCAAAAAACTGTTACAACAATAAACTAGCATTTCCTAAGTCAATCAATCTTTATCATTTTGCTACTTCAAAAGTAAAAAATGTAGATATTAAAAAAAAAGTAGACCAAAAAAGTTGATTTGAATACATTTCACACTCTCAGCCTTTTTCCTCTCCCTCTTCATCATCTGTGTTAGCCAGGCAATCCATGATAATGGATCCTCTTGGAGGTTGACCTCTAAACATAACTTTAAGTTGTTAAGGGTTCCTATTATTATCATTATAACACAAAGAGCAATCCGTATTGAAGCTTTATCGTCATCTTTTCCCTTCGCTGTTTTTTGTGTGTGTGGTTCAAACAACAAAAAAAGGTTCACTTTGAAGTACGTGAAAAAAAACGTGTGTTAACATTTACTTGGTACATTAGTCTAGCTTCTCACGGCTTTTCACCGCAATCATCTTTAGCCTCCTTCAATGATTTTCTTGGTGTATCAAAGTGACAATCATTTAAAAGTTGATTCATTATTTGAAGGAAAACATTTTAATTAGTCTTTAAAACTGTGTAATTGCAACTGTCACAACTAATCTGTCCTTTTGTCCTCAATTTTACGATTTACAATTGCAACCATAAACTTGTTTGTTTTTGGCTTCTTGTCACATTTTTGGCTATTTTTTTATTTATTTTGATAAAGTGTTCTCGTGGCGTTTACAAGGCAATACATTGAATGGGATGATAAAAGGAGGCTGAGAGGAAGATGAGTTTATTGAAGATGGATGAGGAAGGTGGTGTGTTTTGTTTAACAGGAGGAGGGTAAATGTGTCCATCAGTGTTTTGATATATAACACAATATGAAAAAGCATTTCAATTGAAAACTGGTAACTGATGGCTTGTTATACTTTGAGGCGTTTTTACACACTTTTTAATCCATTACAATGCATTGAAATACTTTTATCGTCGTTGTGTGGCTCTTTTTGTGACTGTCTGAATAGCCTTTTTAAGGACAGGATTAAGTTTAGAGTACCATTTCTGGTCCATTGAGAGACAAAAAGCCGTTTTTTTGGTTCGCCTTCATTTTGTCAGTTGTTCACACTTACAGATTGTACAAATTCAACAATTTATTATCAACAAATTGTTCTAATTATTTTATCAAATGTTGTACTTATGTGATTGATGGACTAACAGTAAGTTTGAAAGATTTGATGTCTATGATGAATCGAGATTTTAGTGACTTTCTGGTTCATTCGATGTCGGAAATCGGTGTTTCAGGTTGAGTTTATTTACTAAAATATTTTAAAACTCACGAACATTGTCAGACAATTTTGCTCAAAGAGTCTCAATGACTTTTCTGTTTTTTCATCAGATTTTCGGTTGTTCACACTTCTTGCTGAAGATCAATTTCATGAATATTTTCTCAGATTGCAATCTAATTTGACAAAAATTTTGTGATTTGAATCGCAATTCACTTTTCATTGTCAATCCTTTCAACACAAAAAGCTGATAGAACTTTGAATTTTTATTTCTAAACTGATTTCATTTTTCAGTTCAAGTTGAATGATTGAAGATTCAATTTCTTCATCATTTTTGCACTTTGAAAGTAAATATTTAGACATTTTTAGACTGTTTCAGGTGATTTTTGATTATTTTTCAAATCTCGTCTTTTCTCGCTGATAATATCATTGTGTTTAAAGCTCATCAAATGGGACGGAAATAATGTCATGTTGAAGAGATAATTTTAGTTTTTAATAAGATTTACTAAGAATGATTGGAATGTTTTGACGAGTAAAATGATTATGAGCAGAAGCTTCAGTTAATCTTGATAATAATCTTAATCATCTTTTTAACTTCATCATCATTACCATCATCATCTTCATCGTCGTCGTCGTCGTCGTCGTCTTCGTTGTTGTGTTTTTTCTTCAAACTTATCTATTTAAATATCAAGCTAAAATTGTTGTTGGCAAGATTAGTTTTGATTTTTTTAGATTCAACTCATATTCAGTTATTATTGTTGTTTCTGTCAACAGATGACAAGAGGAAGAAACTGTAATCATCTGAAAGATTATGGTAAACAGATTTGATTGTTTCCCCTGATTGTGCAGTTGTTAAATAGCCTGAGCTTGTTACATGTTCAATTGTATAATATTGAGCCATTTGTTTCAGTCTTTTCATGTCAAAGTTGAAGTTTCCCTTCAAAAGTAACCTTTCAAATCTCACAACTTGCAATGTTAATCCAATGTGTTTCAATTTAACCCAAACTAAAACCAATGCAAACTCAATCACAACAATCCTGACAATTAGCATAATCATGATTTATAAGCCAATTTATTGATGAAACTAGCAATATTACACTTTCAATGTTAACCAACTGTTGAAGCGGCATTTCAAGCAATTGATTAACAAGGTTTTCACATTTGTTTACATCAACAATTAACTCGATTGTTTCCAATGTTTTCATTATTAATTAACTTACTTCAATGATTTGTTTAGCTGAAAGCAAAAATAAGCAAACTTATGTTGAGTAAATAACATTAACTTGTTTGCCTGTTTATTATTGAACTAAATGATTTAACCATTATTAATGTTTAAATGTCTTGTTTGATTTTCAATGTAAATTGATTAGCTACTATTGATTTGAAATGATCGTTTTTTTGGCCTTTTTTCTTGTTAGTTTTCTCGATTGTTTCCTCTCTGTTAACAGCAATTTTCAACAACAGTTGTATTTGTAAATGCTTATTGTGTTGAAGATGATTTACCTTTAATATTTTGACGATGCAGTTAAGTGGCCTCATCTTAACCCCACATCTTGACTCTTAACACGGTCAAGTGATTTGCGTTTTTGTCATTGTTTAACTTGTCTTTGTATTAAAATCTTGAACAAGAAAGGCAAAGAGGCGAAAAAAAGGCAAAACAAAATGTCTATTTTTTGTGGGAAAAAAGGTAAAAATTTGGTTTTACCTTTTCACTTAAATGACCATTTACTCTGTTTGTTCATTAGTTTGACCAAAGTCAAACATTGAGGCTTATTTACAGCCATTAGGTTAAGTAGGCAAAATAACCTGAAAAAATAAGTAAAGAGTTCAATGGATTACAATAATCAAAAAGCAAAAATCAATAACCAGAAAAAAAATGTTACAACTTCATCAGTTTTTCATCTTTTTTTGATATAATTTGTTCATCATTTTCTTGGCATTAATACACATTTTTACCAAGCAAACTAAGACAGATGAAGAAAGAGCAATGTTGATGAAAAGAGGCAAAAAACGGAAGCATTAGAGAGCCTTTTTATCCCTCACAGAGTGTTATTTACTCCCTGATGTGAGACCTGAAAAGGCATCAAGACCAAAGTACAAAGCGAGTCTCAGTAAACATGGAAAGTAATGTTGAACCATTGATATAAACAATAAGCGAAGAGTAAAGCTTTTCGTTGAATGTTTGATGCTCTCTTGTCGATCCTCTTGATGCTCTTGTTGATGCCCAACATGAAGGCACACGAAGACATAAGACATTGACAAAGAAGCTGGAGAAAGCTCGTAAGAAGTTGAAAAAAAGGAAAAGCTAAAAGACCAACAATAATATTTGAAAATACAATGTAAAAAAGTGAATAAAAAGTACGATGTAATGGTAAAGATGAGCCTATAAAAACTCACCTCGAGCAACGTTTTGAATGCATTTTTTGTTGTCATCTTCATTTCAAAGGCAACTTTTGGCGATATGTAACAATTGAAAGTGAACCTTGAGAACCCAAACCATTGGCTTCATCCTATTATTAACAAATGATTATTGATAATAATAATGAACAATAATAAGAACGGAAAAGTTGAACATGTTGACTAAAGGGAGAAATAAATTGATATTAGTTTTTATCATTAGTATTCATAGATTTTCCTCTTTTTGCTTTTATTATTCCTTCACCTGATTATTTACCTGGACTACTTGGTTAACATGTTGTGGGAGTTTTGCTACTTTTATAATGGCTTGAGAGGAGGAAACATATGAGTTGATCAGCAATCAAAAGAATGAACAAGAAGGAAAAAAGAAGAAAAATTTCAAATTCTCTTTTCATTTTCATCTTTTCATCCTTTTTGTCTTCCTTTCACAGCATTTTATAGGTTAACCTTAATGTGTCTTTTTCACCATCTTTTCCATCTTCACCATCTTCTTCATCATCTTAAACTTGATCTTCTTCTTTCCTGTATTATTCCTATACCATGTTGACGATCAACTTTATCATTCCTTTTGCTGTTACCTTTAGCTTCTTAATTGATATTGAATGATTAAATTTTCATCATTCCATGTTTATCATTCATTAAGTGGGTTCATTGAGAGCATGAAAAGTGTTGAAGAAAAGTTAGAAATGCTTTTTCTTTCCTCTTCTCTCGCGATAACGTTTTAAAAGGTTATTGTTGTCGCTGTTGTTTTTGTCAAGATGAATAGATGTTAACCATGATAATATTATGATGCTGATGATGATGATAAGAAGATTATTAAAAGATTGATGTGAATGACAAAAAAAGAGACGATTTCTTTTGATTTTGTCTTCTTTGTCTTCTTTTCTTTCTTCTGTTGATGGTCAAAAATCTGTTGACACTATCAACTGATATTATCAATGGATGTCACCTTTAAGTAAAAATGTTATTCTTCATGATATACTCACTATATTTATGCTTATTTAGATGCTTTTGTTTCTTACAGAATATTAGTCTCTATTAACATTGTTGAGAAAATGTTCATTCAAATGTCCACCTTGTTGTTGTTATTTTTGCTCAATTGTCACAATGGTCAACAAAGGTTAACTCACCGAGTTAACCTTTAAAATGAACCTTTTTCTTGTCCAGTGCAGCAGTAGCAGCAGCAAAAAAGAGGACCAACAATAAGAAGAAAAAAAAGCATGAAAAAGGCAAGATAAGGTGATAACCATCAGCAAGTGAAGCAAAGACATTTCTCGATTCATGTTATTCAATTGTTGGTGATGCTGATCAACAAAAAGGGTTTTACTGGTTGCACATTTTCAAGTCAAACCTTTGGGTGAAACCTTTACCGTTTACTTGGTACAAAAGGTTCCTTTTGCTTCCTCTTTTCATCTTACCTTTAATAGTCTTCTAACCCTTGAAAACTAAATGGTAATATAAACTAATTGGTAGGCTCATTTTGACCCTTCATCCTCCTCCTCCTCCTCCTTTCCTCTTTTATCAAAAATATATATTCCCTTATCCCTTGGACAAATGATGATAATGATGGCGATAAGGGAAACCATTGAAATAAACCTTTACATTGTGTTGACCCTTTACCTAAATTTTGATCATTTCAAGATAAATATCTTTCTCTTGGCAGCCCATCGTTATCAACATTATTAACATTATTATTGCAGCTCTTATCACTCCCTGTTTATTCAATCAATAATATCAATATTTATCCATATTTATTCATTTCGACCCTCACAATGTTTATCAACCTTTTTACCCTTAACTACTGTTTAACCTCACTTTAACCCAACTTTGTTGACCCATTTGATGACAGCCTTTTTCATCGGACTTGCCAATCCTCTTTAATTAGCAATTGTTGCCAAAAATTTTACTCTTGCTTTTTTTCAGTTTTCAATTGAGAATCACTTTTCAAGTTATTGATTTCATTTTGTTGTAATCCAATCAGCCTGTAGTTTGATTAATTGATCTTGTTGATTAGCATTGTATAAATGGTGATTCAGTTAATCAGTTTGATAATTTTTCTCATTTCCAGTTTTCTTTCTCTCTCTTTCACTTTTTCAACTTTTAACAAAAAGCTAAATTACGTTTGAATGCTGATTAATGATATAATATGAATATCTGTTACTTTCCATTGCATTGTTATATAAAACCATTGATGAGTAATTCATTGATGAGAATTGATAATTTGATGGTTTCCGGTGTCATTTGTTGATAACCTGTAGATAATGTTAAAGATCACATTTCATTTCATCTTAGCTTGATTCATCTTCCCAACCATCCTCATCAGCATCTTCATTTACATCATTTTTTGATGAATGTAAGAAACAATTTTTCTTCCATCTTAACTTACACAATCACAATGAGCAATTGTTTTTAAATGGGCAAAAAACTGAAATCATGAAAAATATCATGAAACTATAAAAATTATTGTCAACTTTGATCATGAAATTTCAATAACTTTCCTCCAATCATTCATTGTACTTCACTTACAGTTTGTGTTAAACTTTACCCTCAACGTTCAACTTTTGCCCAGAATTACATTTCAAAAGGTGTTTCTTGTTCAACTGCAGTTTCCATCTTTAATTATTATAATCAATATAATAACAATCAATCATCTTTTCAACATCATAATCAGCAATCTCTTCCGAAAGGTTAACCTTGAAAGCCCTGTAAAAACACCAAAATGACTTGACATTGTTCTTGGAAACAAAATGAGTGAAAACAAACTGAAACCCAAAAATGGTTGAAAACGCATTTACCTTACATTATTCAACAATTTTAACTCACTACAAGAATCTTTAATTTTCACACTTTTTTTATTAGTCTGTTGCTAATCAAACCGTTAAACTAAAGGTTAACCAACAATTGGAGCTTAATTGTTTCTCAAACACACGAGCATTTTAAATACGGAAGCAAATGATTATGTTTAACTTTGATTAGTTTAATTGCCATTGACCTGAAACTTGATAAATAATAACAAAGGTTAACCTTTCAATTTCATTGATTTCAAAGAGTCTTTCTGTTTGAATTGAAATTTTAAATTGACCAAATTATCATCATCAACATTACCATCAATTTTGATCCTCATCTTCATCATTACACTATAAATCAAAAGTTAATATTATTAGCTTAATTTACTTCCTTAATGTGTTCAAATTTACTCTCATGGGAAACAAGTAAATACAAATAGAAGCCAAAAAGTAAAAAGATTTCTTGATTATATATAAATATTTTCATATTCAACATAAGCTTTTTGTTTGCATTCACTGTTCATGTAATCATTGTTATAACATTATTATCATCGATTATTACTCTTTTTTATTATTGATGATGACGACGACGATGGTAATGATGATGATGATGATCAGAATGATGATCCAATTTCAATTCTTTCACATGATTAACTTGATTTACTCTCTTGAGATACTCGCTTTACTTTTTCCTCCTCCTATTCAACATCTCTGAGTATATTTTGTTTTTAAAACATTACACAAAACTGGTTCACTTGATTTACTGTTATTTTATGGCCATCTACCAGATTAAAGCTTATTATTAATCCAAAGTGTTGATAATAGTGTTGATTGATTGAGGGGCTGGAATTGATTGTTTGAGCTGCACTATTAATCGCTTTTAAATGCAATAAATCAAAGTGTTTCCACTTGCCAAGTCAACATCTAACTCTGAAAATTAGTGAGTTTTTTTTGTATTTTAAATTGAAATTTATCACTTTTAATGTCACCAGAAGTTTATCCAGCAATTGATTCAGTTTTTTATTTCACTTCTTGTTTGCCTTCTTTATGTTTATTTTCACCTTTTAACTGTAATCATTATGATAATGCAATTAATTGTGATTGTTGCATTTCATTTGAAAACATTTACAACGGGAAGTCAAGTCAATGAGAGGTTAAAGGTTGAAAAGGATCAAATGAAAATGAAAACCAGAAAAATGATGTTTATCTGGTTCTTTTCATGCGTTTACTCATTTTCATTCATCAATAACATTCAACTTCATTCACTTGTAGTTTTTTATCATTATATTTGTAATCATAACTGCCTTACGTTGGTTGAGTGTTTTGGTTAATTGTTTTAAACTAACCTTTGATTCCTTGCATTCCTTAATTTTTGTGTTTTGTTTCTCATTTTTCCAGATTTGTATTGATAGAGAGCTAAAATTATTAGCATTATTATTATATAACTTGTGCTGAGTAAAACCTTGAATTAACATTCAATGGCAAGCACAACAACAACTTCACAAGGAGCAGCAAATTTCAACTGTTATTGGGGAATGATTGGTTCAGAAGATAATTCAGGTAAATCTCTAGCATTTTTGCTCGTTAATTTTGATTCACCTAATTCAATATTTGTATCACTTTAAACTCTAAAGGATTTAACACAAGTGTAAACAGTAACAGTGTAAATCAAAGTTTAACAAACTGTCAACAAGCAGCCAGTCTTGACTATAGTCACAGTGCATACTCAACGGGATCAACAGGTTATCCTGCCTCTTATTATGCAGTCAGCTCGGGATCGGCTTATGGTTCGGCTGCTGCTGCCACTGCTTCAGCAGCAGCAGCTTCAGCAACCCTTTATCAACAGTTGGCTGCTACATCGGCCTCAACCATGGCACAGTTAATCAATTGGGATCAAACAGCAGACGAAGAAAACAAATCAAAGTTAACCGCATCCTCATCCAGTTCATCTTCATCGAAAAAAAGTTGCCACTATTCATTCAGTGAATCCAATTCTCATTATGTTCACCATCCTCATCATCCCTTTGATACAACCTCATCTAAATCAACATTTGACCTTCTCTCTGCTCATCACACCTCATCATCATCTAAAAAGGGTAAGTTGATTACAAGTTTAATCCCAATAATCCCAACCAATCAACTTTGAAACCATTCAACAGCAAATGTGTTCATCAAACTTGAAGGTGATTGAATGATTTAATTTTTACTTTATCATCCTCATCATCATCTACTGTTAATTTACAGCTCAAGTGGTTTGCATGAAAAAAGGCAAGAGAAGAGAAAAATATTTTTTTCTCTTCATCTTCCTCTCCTCCTTTTACACTCTTTTTCATCATCTTAATCAAATCAAGTGAACTGATAAGTTATTGGCTTGATTAATAGCTTATGGTTAAAAAAAAGATGAAAGCTTATTGGTAAATAAGATTGTTTGAAATTTGATATGAAAACAACTTGAAAATGAACATGAATAACATGAAGGAAACAGCATAATTCAAAAAGTAAAACAAAGAGCAAAGTGAAAACTGTTGAAACCTATTAAGAAATTAATATCAACAATTTACAATAAACGCTTTAAGTGCATTTAATTAACCCAAAAAAGCCATTCACCAATTGCTCAACAAGTTTCATTACAAGTTATTAATCAACTTTCATGCAATTACAGGTGAATATTGAAAAACACGTCTGTGAAACATTAATCAATCAGTCACCAAGAAGGTTTTCATGAACAATCAACATTTGCTTTTAAATGGATTAATGATGATTTCTCGATGTAAAGAGTAATGAATGAATGAAGACAGTGAAGGCAAAAATCATTTAGTTGCTTTAAATGCTGTTAATTTGGTATTTTGGTCAAATGCAAAAAGGTCACTTGTTTAGGTCAGAATGGACAAAATGCATTTTTAGCTTTTCTTTCTGAGTCTCTTTGCCAATCTATTAGCATTTGGTTTCCGGTCAACCATTGAAAATATTCATTTATCCTGTTCATTTGTTAAATGTTGAAGAAGATGAAGAGCTTTTCGCCATCCCAATGACCACAGAAACAAAAAAATCTCCTTGGAAACATTCATTTTCTTGAAAAAAAATTCTTTTCCCTTCAGTCAAAGGTCATTTTCTTGGGCCTTATTTTTCCTTGCAAAGAAACAACCTCTCTTTTTGCATCAATCACTTGTTTCAAACTCTCTCCTCCTCCTCTTCATCATCATCATCTTTGCATCTTTGAACTTGAAAAAAGAAGAGAAATGTTTTACTAAATAAAAAGTATCCATACATTACCAGTGGTTAGTGTTTTGTGTAGTCAACTTTTACCATCTTTCGTTTGTGCCTTTTTGCTACTTACTTGCAATTCATTTTAATTGTAAATTCCGATTAAAATGGATTGGTGTTCGTTACAAATAGATCGAGGTCCAATGAGAAATCGTCATTACCAACCTGGTTATCGTAAGTGATGAACAGAGTTGACCCTTTGATAAACCAACTGTCAAACAACCTCAACTAACCTTTCAACTTATGCAGGTTCAATAGCTTCAATGGCAAATAACAGTACAACAGCACAAGCACCCAATTTCAACTACTATTGGGGAATGTGTGGATCAGACGATAATTCAGGTAAGAAATTCTTAACTCAGACAATTCCCTTCAACAAAACCAAAAATTGAACCTAAAAACCCATTCAATTCAAAGTCTAATCCAATAACCTAAAATGAATTTACACTTCCTTTAACTTGATATCATTTGTTTCACCAAACAGGCTTTGTAAGTGGATCATCAAATACTTCAGTTAATCCAATGGCTAATTGTGCTCAGGGGAGTCTTGATTATCCTTATAATCCTTACAATCAAACCAACCCTTGGTATCCCTACTATACCAACCAGGGTTATGGTACAACGGCTTCACCTCTGTACCAGTTGGCTGCTCATATACCAACGGCAACTTCATCGACCCCAATGGGTTCACTTTTAACGGCATCTTCTTGGGATGGAATCGATCAAGATGAAAGCAAATCCCTGATAACTTCAAGTAAACATCAAACTTCATCAAGCAATGGTACCAATAGTAATGATAGTAATAATAATACCAATACCAATAACAATAATAGCACTTCTAATAATGCTAATAACAATAGTTCTAGTAATGTTAATAATGCCAATAGTAATAATAGTGATAATTGTAATAATAATAATGCTACTTCCAATAATAGTTCAGGAAGCAAAAGTAGTAACCTTAATGCATCAACAAGCATTTCCAATCAGAGTAATGAGTCAAACAATACAAATGTTAATACAAGCAATGCAAGTGCCGCAAACAGTGTTAATGGCAATGTAAACAACAGTTCAACATCAACAACAATCAACACCAACAACAGTGGAAACAGTGGTTTTAGTGCAAATTCAAACAGTACTAATAGCAACTCCACTAATACAAGTAACAGTAACTCTAGTAATAATACTAATTGTGTTAATAGCAATTCAAATAGTAACAGTTCCAATGCAACCAATTCAACTTCAATTGGTAATAGCAGTAAAAAACATTGCGCTTACTATTTAAATGAAAATCCAACTCATCATTATTCAAATGTTCACCATCCTTTGGATACAAATCAAACAATTACACCCAAACTTGAACTCATCACAAATCATCCCAATCCATCAAAAAAAGGTAAATACATTTCGAACCTTTATTTTCAGGATAAAATTTCAATCATTGAATTTTCTTTGTCAATTTGTCTCAACCTCAAGTTTTCTGTAAAAGTTGAAAGTTTAAGTTGAAAGTTTATCCAAAAGTGAACATTTATCCACATTTGCTCGGATAAAGGGAATCCGGATTTCCGTTGTCAATTGTTAGTGGAATCAATGGATTAAGAAGGTTAAACTAAGTTGAAAAGCTATGCTTTAATCTACTTTAAGCTACTTTACTTGATAATCATGTCAAGTCAATAGGTTTGATGAAAATGTTAACAGATTAACAGTTGACAAAAGGCAACAAATTTACGAATAGATTAACTCACTAACAGAAGAAAACTGTTTTTATAAGAAGATGATTATGATGATCAGCGTCACCATCGGATCATCATCATGATGAGGATAAGTGAGGGAAAGTGAATGTAATAACTGAATATAGACAGAAGTAAAAAAAAGAAGAGAGAAAAATCTTTCGAGTCTTTTCTTCTTCTTCTTCTTCTTCCTCCTGAGTTTGTCTATTCATTGAAACCATTGTCTACCTTTTGCTCCTCTGTCTTTTCATCCCTATGAAACCTGAGATTTTCAATGTCGAGCATCTCTTTGACAGGATGAGACAAGAAGGATGACTAGAGAAAGAAGAGGAGAAAGAGAGTCAGGATGAGAGGAACGTTAAGGAGCAAAAACCACTTTTGCTCTCAACTTGATTATAACAATATTTGCTTTATAATGGTTTGTCATTTTATTTATTTTTTTCTCCTTCATTCTCCATCCATTTTGATTCTTCTCTCTCTCTCACTCTCATTCACTATCATCCTTCCTTATCTCATCTTATCATCATCTCACTCATTTCTATCTCTTCATCTTATTGTGATTCTTTGTGTGCTCTTTTGCTTATTGTTAATACATTGACAGAAGAAGAAGATGAAAGATGTTTGTGTTGGTAAAAAAAAGTAAAGTAAAATTGCATTAAACTTGTAACTTTGTATTGTTTTTTTTCATAGTTTATAGTTTTTTGCTCTCAATTTTATCAATATTTGCTTTTGATCCAGTTCAGTTTTATAACCCATTTACCTTGATAGCAAAATGTTGAAATTCCCTTCGATTTTGAGTTTCTGATTGTCGCAATTTTAAGTATGCGAGCATCGATACAAAGCTTAAAGTTTTTTTAAATCAAATTTTTGAATCTTTCAAGACATTTTCTAGTTTTTTGTATTTTTTTTGGAACGAGAAATTGCTTTTTCTAAGATATTTTTGATTGGTGTTGTGGTTATGATGAAGTTGTTGGCATTTGTTTTTTATCGTAAAATGTTATGAGATTTGGAAAGGTTTACAGCTTTGATCCATTTATTTAGATACTTTTGTGTTTGGTTTACTGAAAACTCAGCCTATCGCTACAAATTACTGGGATGAACCAATCAGCAAGAGTGAAGGTAAATGAAATAAACTATTCCAGATGATTATTCACACTTGAGTTGCTCTTGTATTATCTTGGTTATTCAAAACATAGGACATTTTATCTTGTTCTTGTTCCTTTGTTTCATACTGAAACATCAGGATTTGTTTATAGGTGAAAACAGGAGAATCGAAATTCAGAGTAAAAACAAAGTTACTTTTCATGTGCAAACCAAGAATAGAATTACTAAATCGAGTGAAAACTCAGAATGCAGGTCAAGTTCAAGCTAAAAAAGTAAAGTAAAAATGAAAAAAACATTTGAATATTTGATATCAAAATTACAATACTTACTGCATAATCTGTTTGGCATTCATTTTTCCCTATTCATTGATTCCAATATCGTTCTTGTAATGAGATAATTTACCAATAAACTAACGGATTGTTTCAAATTGACATTTGCTTCTCAAAGACCTCCAAAATCATTCAACACAACATGAAGTCTAATAAAGATTCAGTTTAGACAAAAAAGAATTGAAATCTCATAACATTTTGAATTCCACTCTAACTTTCAACTTTACTTGAACAGGCACAACCAAGGCTGGAAGAGGTCGAGGTCGCCGTCAACCAACCCAATCACCCGATCTTGAAAATCACTTGGAAAGGGTTTTCATTTGGGATTTAGATGAAACTTTAATCATTTTCACAAGCCTTTTAAACGGTACTTTTGCATCTAAAACTGGAAAGGTAAGTGAACATTTATCTTTATTGTTCAAGTGAAATTCAAATGCACAATTAATATCTTTAATCTCTCATCAACAAAAATCTGTAAAGTTACACAAAAAGTTGCCTGTGTGTTTGCCTAGCATTTCCCATGTTTTCAGCTTTTCGGCCCATTTCTTTGGATAACTTTACTTTTCTCATCATTACTTGACATCCTTTCCACATCTTTTTTAGTGTGTTATAATGAACCTGAGAAGATGATGAAGATGTAATTTTATTTTAACTTTATTTTCTTGGGTTCAAGCCCAACTCACAAATTGCAAATGAAAAGATTTCATTGAATAACAATCAACTCATCAACAGCAACTTGATGAACATGAATTTATTGTGAGAAATATTTTTATGTCAACATTACATTCCAAAGTGATAACATTAAACTAACCTTTAATTATTCAAAATTGTGTTTCTAATTAACAATCAATCCAACCGTAATCGGATAAATGAATCAAACTTAAAGATTCAACTTTTGTTCACATTTTACTTTTCATTCAATGACCTGCAAAGCTCCAGCTATTATCAACATTGAGATGATCAAAACTCATGATCATGATAATTTACAATTTTCTTGGAATCAATCATAATAATGTTAACAATAATAATGATAATTATGTTTTTGTTGATAATAATAATAAAATGTTTACTTTCCCAAACTCAAAGGTCAACTGATTGTTAACAGGAAAAAGGATTGAATTACAATTTAGCAAATTTTTTCATTCACTTTCAACTCAATTGATGAACACTTTTCAAACACATTTTTAACTTTTTAAATCAATCTCAAAGTTTAATTTCGTTCAATATCAGAGTGAAGGAAACTTCAACAATTATTCACGGTTTGGACCATTTGCCTCTTCGTCTTGCACTGACCATTAGCTTACCATTAATGACATTGACAGATATTTCATATGCGCTCTTTGATTGATGATCATTTTGTTTGTTTGCGTCCTTTGCGTTCAACCTTTTCAACTGATGTTTCCTTCAAGCTTTACATTTGAAACTCACAAGTTATTGCGATTTTAGTCTGTCAATTAATAGTTAATTATCATCTGTTTCAATCACTTTTTTACCACATTAATACAGAATTTTTTTCTTCTATGAAACAGTTTTTTATCATCATCATGATTGAACAAAACAAATGATTGACATGAGTTGAAATGTTTAAGGTTATCTTAAAGTTGAACTTTTTTTGGGCAAAAATATTGATGATGATGAGGATGATTTTGAAGGATGACAAAAAGATGGCTGAGATAGAGAAGGTAAAAGGATGAAAGATAGGATAAAAGGTTAGAGGAGCTTTTTGGTGGTGATTTTTTTGCATGATAACAACCATTGTGACAATAAAATAATAAATATTGTGGTAAATAGCGACTGGGAATTGTTAGTGACACTTGACTGATTCATGATTTAACTTGTTTGCTTTGCCTTTCATTTCATTATTTTGGGTTGTTGTTAAAAAGCAACCAATTTAATGACATTGAATCAAATCAAATTTGAACACTTATTATTGTTTCCATTTGTATGTCAATACCAATTGGCTTCATACATATTCCTATGAGACTTTATTATTGAGGTTACCTTTTCCTATTGTGCTAATCAAATCACTGACAAATGTATAAACCATTTACATTTTATTTGCCTTTATTGTTGTTCATTAACAATATTACCAACAATTAGATTTTAAGATAAAGCCAATCATGAGCTCGTTGTCAAATGTAAATTCAATTTGACCAACAATCATTTCAATTTCAATGAAAACACATTTTAAAATCATCTTTTCAACACTCAAATGATTACATTTCATTTAATCATTTGTCTTGACTTTTACAGATGTTTTTATTGCTCTTTCAGTTTTCACCAAGCATGAGCAATTCAGTCTTTGTTTGCATTCGTCTATTTCATGGTTACTCTGAGTCGGTTCAATATTTTAATTGTAATCTGTAATCATTAAAACGATCAACTGTTCAATGGGTTTAGTTAATTTGAATTTCAATTAATACGCCAACCACTGCATTGATTTACAAACGTTAGATGGCGACTCGGATTACGTGCAAATGACAATCGTTTTTGGTTTCAAATTGAAACTTTCAAATTGTGATTGTGATTTTTTATTAATTTAGTTTTATTTAATTTCAGTTTTCGCTATTTATGATTAATTTTATTGTTGTCATTTTGATGTTTAACATTCCCTAGTCTGTCAGTATTCGTCAGTTTCTTAAACGTCTCAATATGTTTCTTTTTAGTCTATCAACATTAATCTTACACTGGTCTATATTTCTTGCCAACTTATAAGTTTACACATAGCTTTTTTGCTTGATGTCTCGATCAACTGGGCCAACATTATGGAGCAATTAACAATAATTTTGTAACTTTTATCATCTCAATCACAGTAATTTAATTGTGATTAAAATTCCATGACAAGTTTTCTTGCCTGATAAAAATCTATTCACTTTACAAGCTTACTCTTTTTCCCCTATCTCTTGTTGATTGGTGAACTATTAACTTCCTTTCCTTAACTTTATTTTTCTTACACGTTACTCAGCTAACTTGATTACTTCCGTTTGTATTTCGGTAATAATTAGTATTATGATTATTAGGTCAGCGCTCAAGCGTTGAAAAGTAAGTTAAGCAATGATCTTTGCGTTTAATTTTTTGTTGTTAAACAGCTTACGCTGATATCTTTTTTTAATGTGTAATTACACCAAGAAGTAAATATTAAAACAACGACGCCATCAAAGATCAACTGCTACTTTCAGTGTTTACCTAACTATGCCCATAAAATATTTGAATTTTTAACATTCTTTAAATTTTTACGCTCAATAGTTACCTTACTGTGTGTGTTTCGCCTGCTGGAGCTGCCATTGGGATAGGACAGGAAACAAGCCAAAGACAAAGGTCTTCTTGCATCAAATTAAAGCAAACAAGCAATGGAAAGGTCAACAATCAAAGAAGCCGTAACACAAGATAAACTGCGCCAATTAACACAATCAGCTTCGATTCACACTCGCAACCGTATCCTCAGCCACTTACAGACCAACTTGTTCACAATCGAAGCATTGTCTTTTTTTACATTATTATTACCAATTTATTGCACTGTGGCCAAGAAATTAGTATTAATAATGAAAAAAACGATTGATGAACTTTCCGATAGAAATGTATTAGATTTGCATTCGATTGCAAAGTTATATCAGATTTGATCAGGTTAAGAGTTTTTCAATAGTTACTCAGCCAATAATCAATTGACCTCGATTCTTATTAATCAAATAGCAATTTTTCAATTCACTTTCATTTCTCTCCATCTCGATTTGATGAATTATAATATTAATCATCAAGAAAAGTAAAACTTGGAGCATAAATTATAATAACAACAATCAAGAGTAATTTAAAGTTTCTTTTTTGTACTCAACTGAGAAAGCGAAAGTTGATTGTAAATTAAAACTTGTTATATTAATAATATCTGAAGGAAAGTAAAAAAATTGTAGGAGTAATTGAGAATCAATTGTTCAATTGATGACGATAATCATGATTATTGCCGATGGGAATCATCATGATTCGTCTTCACATTTGTGGTTTACATTTTCATGCTTTATAACTGAATTATTTGAATTACCTTAAGGAAATGGTTCAATTCAGTTTCTCTTTTCTTCAACTTTGAGATTGATGATTAAATATGATTGGCAAGTTACTTTCATCATTAAACTAATCACAATTTAAATGTTGACTTTAAGTCAATCCAATTGTATGGCCAAAAAAGCTATTCAAAATAGTGACTTTACTCTTGAAAAATCAAATTATCCTTGTTAACCTTATTTCATCTACAATTAATAGTCACAATTAGATTGGACAATTTACATTGGATCAACCTTTTAACCAGTTAACACTTGATCAACAATATTACCTTGAATTGCTGACAATAACATTTAATGCCGACTATTATTAACTATCCTTGATTATCATTGTTTTAAAATCATTACTCACAGTTAAATCGCTAATCAAAATTCATAAAAATGATTAATTCAAGGTTTTGAAAGCCATTAAATTGTCCATCAATTGTTTACAATTGAAAACACTTTTCTCATTTAACCAAAATCTTTGCAATCTTTTTCAACCAACAATATCAACTTGGATCAACCACAATTTGATTGTTTTACCATCAAAAGGTTATTCAAATTTCAACATTAATTGTGAATATCTTTAGCTTTTTAATTGTTTCAATCAACCCTGTAATTTGGATTCTTTTTCAATCTCAACTCTTTCAGTTTGCCAACAATCAAATAATTTGAATTAACAATTCTTCCGTCAGTTTGAAGTTGCAAAATGATAAACATTATGATTAAATTAACACCATAAAAGGTTTAATAATTGAACTAATTATAGTTACTCATTGATTAATTTGGTGAAAGTAAATTGTTACTTTTCAAGTTACCATACAAAAGGCGAAAAGTGAATGGCAAGAAAAATTGAAAAAAATGATTTGTTCACTGAAAAAAGACCTTTTTTTAAACCATTAAAACACCGTTATTTATCAATCAAGTTAATTGCATGAGATAAAGGTGAAAACCTCAGAATAGAATTGTAATTGTCATGTTATCATTGAACAAGAAAACTTTGATTCTCACAAGCAATTGATAAGCTTCAATTTTCAAATTTAAATACAACATTTCCCAACATTTAATCATTTAACAATTTCCTCTACTTTACCTTACAATTAACCAAGGTAATTTAATTTCTTTACCTTCACACAGCAATTGTCATTAAAATGCGTAAAAATGTCTATTCACTTGAAATCGCCAAATAATTCATATTCAATTTTATCGTCGATTCAAAGTCAATAATGAAAATGGGTTTCATTTGAAAAGCTTCATCAATTGTTCAACTTGAAGTAATTAACTTATTAATTATTGATTGGGTTAACATTGAAATTAATCAAAAGTAGACTCTGAACCTTTGACCTTAACTTTGTCGATGAA